GGGCGGGAACTGGGAGGAGGGGAGTTATGGGGGGAAAAAAGAGGAACAAATGTAATAATCTGAACAATAAAGATTTAATTTAAAAAAAAGAAAGAAAGAAATAATACAGTTGCTTTACTTGTTTTGCTCCCATTAGAAGATGACTCCAGTGCTTCATCTTTGGACATAATGTTGATTGTATAGATTGAAATACTCTGCTTATGTTAACGAAGCATTTAATTTTCATAGTTAAAAACAAGCACACCAAAAAACTATGGCCCTGGCCTGTGTGGCTCAGCTGATTGAACATAATCCCATGCACTGAAAGATCTCTGGTTTGATTCCTGGTCAGGGCACATACCCAGGTTTTGGGCTCTATCCTGTCGGTGGGTTTGAGAGGCAACTGATCGATGTTTATCTCTCACATCAATGTCTCTGTTTCTCTCCCTCTCTCTCTCCCCCCAACCCCACCCCGGCTCCTTTCCTCTCTCTCTCAAATCATTAAAAAACAACAACATATTAAACAACAGCAACCATTCTTTGTGTTCTGATTTTCTTTGCATATTTTTATTATTTTTCTTATCTAACAGACTGAGATATAACACATTTTTCTAATTTTAAACCTTACTTTTATTCCTAGGATAGGTTCTATTTCATTGTGGCAGATTTTTCTTTTAATGTTTTTCAAATTGTACTGGATTTGATTGCTCATACTTAATTTTAGATGAGATATTAAAGTTCCCTGCAGTTCAGAGTAGTAGTTTGGAGCCAGATAATAATGGCATTATAAGATAGCAAGTTAACAGAGGTTTATAAGCAGATATGTCAATTTTCATTACAGAGATTTATTTTTCTTATTACAAAATACTTCAGATAAAAAGGTAAAAATTATAATCTATAATAATAAAAACATAATATGCTAATCAGACCGAACAGCAGAACAACCTTCCGGACATCCTTCCGGGCGACTTTCCTGACAAAGCTATGGCGGCGGCGGGGGCAAGGCAGAGGTGGTTAGGGGTGGTCAGGCAGGCAGGCAAGTGGTTCAGGTGATCAGGCAGGCAGGCGAACAGTTAGGAGCGATCAGGCAGGCAGGCAGGCGAGGGGGAAGGGGCGATGAGGCAGGCAGGCAGAGGCAGTTAGGGGTGATGAGGCAGGCAGGTGAGTGGTTAGGGGCGATGAGGCAGGCAGGCATAGTGGTGAGGGGCAATCAAGCAGGCAGGCAAGTGGTTAGGAGCCAGCGGTCCTGGATTGCAAAAGAGATGCCTGACTGCTGGACATCCCCCAAGGGGTCCCAGATTGCAAGAGGGTGCAGGCCAGGCTGAGGAAACCCCCACCCCTGTGCATGAATTTCATGCACTGAGCCTCTAGTATAGTATAAGACAGTATAATATAATTAATATAATATAAATATATCCACCACCTAGATTTAGCAAATGTTAACATTTCAGCATGTTTGCTTCTCATTTCAGTGTTAAAAGCAAAATTTATAAGGCATAAACAAAACCCACCACCAATCCTATTTCTTCTCCCTTTTTATCAAGAAGCAAGTATGTGAAGTTGGTGTCTCTCACTCAAATCAGTATAGATATGTGTGTATCCACAAACAACATAGAGTAGTTTTATATCTTTTTAATGTACCTTAATGATAATATACCATGAGTATCATTTTATAACTTGCTTTTCTAATAAGCATTATTATTTTAAGGTTTCTATGCTGAAATGTGTATGTTTGGTTTCATACACACACACACACACACACACACACACACACACAGTGGCCAGATTATTATGACTACCTGACGTTTGTAGGCAAATTAGCTATAATTTCCCACTGAAGTTGCTAGAGGGCCAGATCATTATAAATGTCTGAATAGCACAACATAACCTAAATATCATTGCTGATCAAGTTCATCCTATCATGTTGATGGCGTATCCCAATGGAGATGGCTTCTTCCAACAAGACAATGTGCCATGCCACGGTGCTCGTATTGTGCAGGAGTGGTTTCAAGAACATAAGGGAGACTTTACCTTGCTTAGGTGGCCCCCACAATCACCAGATCTCAATCCAATTGAGCATTTGTGGGACGAAGTTAAAAGAGCCATCAGGCAGCTGGTTCCACAACCATCAAATCTCACAGAACTGGACAGTGCTATTCATCAGGCATGGTGTCAGATTCCTCGCATCATCTTTCAACATCTCGTGGAGTCAATGCCAAGAAGAATCGCCACAGTATTGAAGGGAAAAGGT